GAGCCAATGCATTCTGTTTATTGGCTTAAACAGTCAATTGGAACTAAGTTTTCTTTTACTTACAACTAAAAGTATCTTCCCCTCCCCCCCACCCTTTTTAATTTAAATTTTAGTTAACAGTGCAATATTGGTTTCAGGAGTAGAATTCAGTGATTCATCACTTATATACAACTCCCAGTACTCATCACAAGTGCCGTCCTTAGTACCCATCATCTATCTAGCCCATCCCTCACCCACCTTCCCTATAGCAACCCTCAGTTTTTTCTCAGTCATTAATGGTCTCTTGGTTTGTTTCCCTCTCTTCTCTTCCTTACCCCCTTCCCATATGTTCATTTGTTTTGTTTCTTAAATTCCACATATAAGTAAAATCATGTGGCATTTGTCTTTCTCTGATTGACCTATTTTGCTTAGCATAATACACCCTAGCTCCATCCACATCATTGTAAATGGCAAGATTTCATTCTTTTTGATGGCTGAGTAATATTCCTTGTAAATATATACCACATCTTCTTTATCCATTCGTCAGTTGATGGACATTTGGGCTCTCTCCATAGTTTGGCTATGGTTGACAATGCTGCTATCAACATTGGGGTGCATGTACCCCTTCAAATCTGTATTTTTGTATCCTTTGAGTAAATACCTAGTAGTGCAATTGCTGGGTTGTAAGGTAGTTCTGTTTTTAGTCTCTTGAAAAAGTGTCTTATGAGATATTTATAGCTCACGCTTCTTAGTTATCAAAGTGCTTTCTCAGTTGATGACAGTTAAGCCTATCATGAAGCCTGTGACATAGGGGAAGTATAGCTGTCACCTCCATTTGATTCACTTAATTCCATGTCCTCTGACTCCCAGTTCTGAGTCTTTCCGTAGAATAATCCTACGCTGGAATGACATTCATCCCAGTGAATTTCACCAGAAGTGCAATGTTATGGGACATTTTATTTGCCTATCTCACAGCAATTCCTCCCACCACATCTTCTTTTTAAATAAAACCCACATTGTCACTTTCTTTTCTATCCTCCCTTGTATCCTTCCCTTATGATCCAGCTTTGGCTAATTAAACTTAAGTGAAGTCCTTTAGGAGATGCTTTGAGGCACTCCAGGGAAAGGGCTTCTTTCTTTCTCTCTTCTTTTCTTTTTTCCTTCCTCCCTTCTGTTCACTTCCCTTCCCTTCCATTCCCTTTCGTTAAAAAAAAAAAAAAAAAATTACAGTTTATTTACTATTGAGAGACAGAGAGAGACAGAGCATGAACCTGGGAGGGGCAGAGAGAGGAGGAGACACAGAATCCGAAGCAGGCTCCAGGCTCTGGGCTGTCAGCACAGAGCCCAACACAGGGCTCGAACTCACAAACCGCAAGATCATGACCTGAGCCGAAGTTGGGCGCTTAACCGACTGAACCACCCAGGCACCCCTCGTTCCCTTTATTTCTTTTTCTACTGTCCCCACCCATCCTATCTGTCTATCTATCTATCTATCTAGTTTTAAATTTACATCCAGGTTAGTTAGCATATACCCACCCATCCTATTTTTGAATATGGCCATGATGCTGAGAGTTATGGCAGCCATCCTATGAGTAGCATGAGGCACTAAGCCAGTTTTCCAAGGATGGAAGAGATTGGTCCTTGATGACACCATGGTGCAACTGAATCAACACAAACAATTGACTTCCTCCAGAATTCTGGTTGTGTGAGAAAAGTAACTCCTATTTGTTTAGGCCACAGTCATATTTTCCAATATTTATAGCCATACATACTGGAGCTGGCAAAATTTGGCAATTTTCCTTTGAAAGAAGGTATCTGGCTGGTATGAGCCAAAATTTCCTTCAAAGAATATGGATGTATTAAAGTCAAAGCACAGGAAGCTATGAATTTGGCAGCTAGTTTGGCCACCACATGGTGTTCTTCTCATTCCTGTGCTCTCCTCTTGGGTGCCCTCATGCCTACAGCAGTCTCTGTGCTATGGTCAACATTGCATCCTTTCCTCTTTCTAAGGGAGCTCTTAGGTATGATCATGTAATTACTCGACCAGCTGCTCAAATCGTATGACCATTAGGACAAGTTAGTGAGAATAATGCTTTGCTCTTCTCTGAGACCCAGGGACTTATATAGTTACAGTCCCTTTAAGGACTCAAAGTACTCTTTTCTCTCCTTAAGATTCCCTGTCTACTTTTGAAGTCCACAGAAAGCAGGAAGGTATTTAAGATGAGGAAAAGTATATACTGTAGTTGGTTAGGGAGACCTGGTCCTTTGGATTAGAACTGTCTAATATCTTAACTGGCTGTCAATTATGGCTGCTTTAAGTCATGTTGTCTTTTATTGAGAGAGACTCTTAGTGGACTGTTGGCCAAATTGGTACAGAAATATTAAGTTGCATTGACTAGAGTTTTAAAGAAAGTGTGTAAGACAAAAAAGAGGTCCCAAAGCCCATTTCCCAGTGGAGAGATGTCTCTCAAATTTTCTCTATAAGATTGTAGAGTTATTTGACCATGATTTTGATTACTGAATACTTGCCCCAAAGAACCTGTTGGACAGAATGCCTATGGGTTTTTATGAGAGGGAACCAAGAGCTCCACCAGAGCTCATCTCAGGAGGGAAAACTCATAATTTCCCAGGGTGCCTGGGTGGCTCAGTTGGTTAAGCATCTGACTTCAGCTCAGGTCAAAGTCTCATGGTTTGTTCATGAATTCAAGCCCCACATCTGACAGTGCAGAGCCTGCTTCTGATCCTCTGCCTCCCTCTCTCTCAGCCCTTCCCCTGCTGGTGCTCTCTCTCTCTCTCAAGAATAAATAAACATTTAAAAAAAAAAAAACCCTCATAGACCTAACCTACAGAAAGTCCAGTAAACCTCTGGCAAGATTTCCTGCTGGCTCTCTGTGGGCTCAGTTAGTCTTCTACACTCAGCAGTAGAAGGGGGACATCATCAATTTTGGCAGGTGTGGCTAGCAGGGTATGGCATGGGTGTCTAGTGTGGAAAAATCACAATGTCCATATCCTACACTGGTATCTACAGAGATTTTCCAATATGGTCTATCCAGAGTCTTGGAAGCAACCACAAACGGACAGTTGACGAGTGACCCTGAATGGCTTTGTTATAGACACCAGAAGACTGGTTTTATTTCAGAGGCAATTAAGGTGTTCATTATCATGGAGGTCCTCATCTTGACCTGTCTGACTGAAAGACTTAAGAATCTTTGTAATGTATACTGAGAAACACTCTGAGGTGTGGGATGGTGGTGTGTCCATATTATTTATTATGAATCACTAAATAATCCATACTGGTTTGTAGCACCTAAAGTCTGCCTTACTCTTGAACAAAAATATCATATGTGTCTAACTCCTTTTCAGTCTCACTATTGTTAGATGTAAAAAAAAACAAAAACAAAAACAATTCATTGTAACAATAGATATAGCTGCAGACGGTACAAGCAGGAATTGCCCATATAATGCATACATTACAGAAAGGATGCATTTAATCATTCATATATCAAATATTTATTTAGCACATATTATGTGCCAGGTAGTACATTTGGGCTACAGGAGAAAAAGAACAAAGATATAGCTTCTGACTTCAAGGTTGCTTCAGTCATTTTGGGTTGACAGAAAAGTCAAGATAATTATAAGATCTTTTGCCATCAGGATTATCCTAACTGGGAGAAATTAGTGCTTATTTTTTTGAAGTCTTCCCTCAGCCTTTACCTCTGCCCCAATAAGCCTAGATGTTTTTCTGCTTTTCCTTTACTTTTCTATTTTCTTGATTTCTTTCTTTTATGTTTCCCCTTTGAGATCATAAGTCTAATTTTAGTTCCCAGTCATTCTTTAATAGGGGTACCAGCCTAGGCAGTCTATGGTTGAGGTTTTTACTCTCCTGTGATATGTCATACTTAATTAACTGTCACCTTCACTATTAATATTAACTGAGATATTAATTTGATGAATTTTAATTTCTCTTAATCATAGCATCATTTTGATCCTTCATTGGATACCTCTTTAAAATGATACATGATACACGGTGCAGGAGAGACATATTTATAGTACATTAAAGTGCTTTTTTTAAAAACTCTTCAGTAATTGCATGTTTTCCTGGTAAGAATATCTGTTTCTTGAACAGGTGTACCCTGATTCCTTTGTTAGCAAATGGATGTTTTGTCTTGATCACCTCCTGACTCTGTTTTGCACTTTCAAAGGAAAATACTTTCAAATTTAAGAACTGTTTCTCTCCAGAAGAATTCTCCAGGGTTTGCTGCATTATCTGACTGGTAAGGGCTCTGTACTATTAATGGAGGCATCAAAAATATAAATGTGAAGGTTGGGTCTATTTGGTAGCAGAGTCTGTGGAGAGCTGGTACCCAGGAGGAAAGAACTGAGTCCGAGGGCAACTAAACCATCAAAAGAAGTCTGATCTATCTGCAGACTGTTTTTTTCTCTTTTTTCCCCTCATTCATTAAAAAATTCTTTCTGGTTTTTCTGTGATTCCTTCTGAATCCCCCTGCACCCTCACTATTGTCTCAGGTCCTTTCTGCACATCCCCAGCCCTCTATATATTGAAACACTGATGCAGACACCCATGGACTGCCTCCCCCAAGCCCCCACATCTTTGCAATGTGATTGGCAAAGAGAATAAACCTGATTAATTTTTTAAAGTAGGCTCCAAGTGCAGCGTGGAAGATCAGGGGTCACATGCTCAACTGAGTGAGCCACCCAGGCACCCTGGACCTGATGCATTTTTAGTATGAGTCTCCTCACTCAAGTCCAGTCACCTAGTTGTTGGAGACCCAGGAACACAATCAATTCCCAGCTCCTTGGTTCTGATATGGGCAAGTGAGGCTGGATAATGACAGCTCTCAGGCCTTCAGTTTCCTTATGAAAGGGAGAATGAGAGGGGCTCTCCTTCCTTCCCAGTCCCTGGATCATGACAGGGAGCATTTTGAACTTGGAAGGCCAGTACCAGGGAAGACAAGGACAAGTACAGTCACACAGGCAGCCTGCACTTGGGGCTTACTCACCTCCAGGTACACCACCCAGGGCATCACCAAGGTGGCCACCAGCAGGTCCGCCACGGCCAGGCTCACCACCAGGTAGTTGGTGGTGGTTTGCAAAGCCCGTTCCCTCAGCACTGCCACACATACCAGACCATTGCCGAAGACGATGGCCAGGATGAGCACGCAGTAGGAGAGGGCATAGTAGGCATGTGGGCGGGCTCGGCTGGCCCCCGTGGAGTTCTCTGCCCCACAGGTGGAGTTGATGTGGCCACTCAGCTGGCTCAGAGGCGCCATAGCCCAATGGGAGAAGAGTGACCCCAGTGGGTTTCCTGGGAGGAGACAGAAAACAATGTCTATAAAATTGGATACTTTGGAGCTTTTTTATTTATTGCTTTAACAAATAATTATTGAGCACTTTCTATATGCCTGGTAGTGTTTTAAGCACTGGAAATACAGCAATGAACAAAAGGGATACATATTCTTGCCCTCATGTAGCCCCCATTCTGGAGGAAAATACAGTAAGAAATAAGATAAATAAAGGATATAGTATGTTCGATAGTGATATGCATTTTGGAGAAGGATAGATCAGAGAAGGAGGTAAGGAGATGGGGAGAATTGTGTGTGTGTGTGTGTGTGTATGTGTAGGATATCTGAGGGCAATTTTTAATCAGAGTAATCAGGA